TACATTTTAACTAACATTATAAATACATTTTAATACTCAGTAGCCCCCACGGCCTCTGGCGTGCAGAACAACAAACTCCTGTTAGCTTTCTCGACCACAACACGTTTAAGAATCAACATAGTTCTGTTACATTCTTATACTGGAGGAGAAATCCGATGAGCTATGAAGCTCTTTACAAAATAAAAAAACATGTCCAGTAGGGGTGGGGGTGTCAGCAAGTTACAACCATACAAAGAAACCCCCATAGGAGTGCAAAGTATATGAAAGGTAAGCGAGTCACTAACAATAAATGCAAAAGTACTGTACATCAATTCCTGCCGATTTGTCAACAATGCCAGCTTAGGCAAGGCAGCAAAACAACAACAACAACAACAGTGCCAGAGCACAGCAAGACGACGCACAATAACATCGCACATTTAAAATGCAACCATCGGCAAACGGGTGACGATCAAAGTAACAAATCACACTGGCGAATGTGGTTTGTTTTAAGGAGATTGATTCCGCTGGGAAAGAGGCAATCGTCGATTTGGCAGAGCGTGGCTCCTCGCTTGACCGCGCGAGTGCGTGGAGTGGTGCGTACGGGGTTTCACTTCTTCACTATCAAAGACAAAGATCCCCCGTGTAGCCTTCAGCAGACTGTTGGGTCAAGTGCTGTGAGCGCCTAGCAGCACCTATGGGAAAGGCTGGAGCACGAAACAGGGCAGGTCCCACTGATCCACGTCGCTCTCTTTCAGAAGCGACCTGGCCACAAATGACCGCGCGACGAAGTGGCTCGTCGTCATCGTGTGGACATCTAAAGCAGACAAATACTCTAAACGCGTGATTCTAAATGCGGAGGGAAAAACCGGAGGACCCGGAGAAAAATCCACGCGACCACGGGGAGAGAGAGAGACAGCGCAACCCCCAAATATACAGCAGCAGCAGCAAGCGTCGTCAGGGTCGGGATCGAACCCACGACCTCCTGTACACCGGGCGAGGTAGTTAACATCTCCTAGCCACCACACGTGGGGTCGGCCAGCACCCACACCGCCACCACCTCACCCGCGTCGTCCTCCCCTTCTCACAGCCACCACACGTGGGGTCGGCCAGCATCCACACCGCCACCACACGTGGGGCCGGCCAGCACCCACACCGCCACCACACGTGGGGCCGGCCAGCACCCACACCGCCACCACCTCACCCGCGTCGTCCTCCCCTTCTCACAGTCACCACACGTGGGTCGGCCAGCACCCACACCGCCACCACACGTGGGGCCGGCCAGCACCCACACCGCCACCACACGTGGGGCCGGCCAGCACCCACACCGCCACCACACGTGGGGCCGGCCAGCACCCACACCGCCAGCACCTCACCACACGTGGGGGTCGTTCCGTGCTGACGTCGTCAAGAGAGCCGCGCGAGGAGTCCGGGGTGGGGGGTGTGGGGGGCACCACGCAGGGGGAGTGGGGGGCACCACGCAGGGAGAGTGGGGGGCACCACGCAGGGGGAGTGGGGGGCACCACGCAGGGGGAGTGGGGGGCACCACACAGGGGGAGTGGGCGCTGACCGCCAGCCGCCTTCAATCCGCGCCGAGTTACGCAACGTCACAGTCGACTGCGCCTACACAACGCGTGCTGCATGTGTGTGCGTGTGCGTGTGTGTACGTGTGTGTACGTGTGTGTGTGTACGTGTGTGTACGTGTGTGTACGTGTGTGTATGTGTGTGTACGTGTGTGTACGTGTGTGTGTGTACGTGTGTGTACGTGTGTGTGTACGTGTGTGTACGTGTGTGTGTACGTGTGTATGTGTGCGTGTGTACGTGCGTGTGTGTGTACGTGTGCGTGTGTACGTGTGTGTGTGTGTACGTGTGTGTACGTGTGTGTATGTGTGTGTGTACGTGCGTGTGTGTGTGTACGTGTGTGTACGTGTGTGTACGTGTGTGTACGTGTGTGTGTGCGTGCTGCCAGCGGTAGCGGCAACCAACACCAGTGACGTTTATTTGAACCGGTACTCGGCTTCCCCTAGGTCGACTCAGCTTCAAATGAGTGTCTGGCGCAAGCGTGCAGTAAACATCGCCCATGGGGGGAGACAAAGGCGGTTGGGCGTGTGCCTCCGTGTTGACCTTCACAGTTGCACGTGAACAGTGCTTGCCTCAACAGCCTGTTGAGGCTCTGAGGCTGTACGGGGGATCTTTGCCTTTAGTGCACAGACGCGGGGAGCGGTGGCGTCGTGGCAGGCGCCTCGCGCCACGAGCCCGGTGGGTGACCCGAGTTTCAGTCCCCGCCACGGCTAACATCATCGGTCGTTTTGAGTGACATCAGAACGGGTCCTCGGCTAGGTCGACTCAGCGGTGAATGAGTACGGGGTGCAGTTTGTCAACAGGACGTAGCGAGCGATATGAAGGTAGCCCCCAGGTGTGCATCAAACCTGTCAAGCCCTTATCAGTGCCTGCCTAAAATTATTACAGACTAATTCAGACCTTGCTGGTCAGCCCGTGCCCGTATAAATCTCAACGTTCATCCTACAAAAGTCCCATCACAAGGGAGAAACACAAACAAATAGACAGAAATTATGTTACTAAACAAAAACTGTTTTACGTATTCATTTTGATCATTGGTGTCAATGATGCTACTTATCATGCTGCTGCCTGTGATCTTGCCTCCTGATGCTGCTGCTGCTTGCTTGATATGTGGATGGACAAACTCGTGTTGACTTTGTTGCTGCTGCTGTTGCCGTATGGACCTGAAAACTCAATTTCCCTGAACAAGAATACGGGTAGACCGTATGGGTTGACAGGTATGCTAGTATATAGTGTATAGTAGTCGTGTATAATGTATACTAGTAGTGTATAGTGTATACGAGTGTAGTGTATAGTGTCGTGTATAGTATAGTGTATAGTAGTGTAGTCCAACGTTGGGCCAACGGTTCCAACTACATGCCGACGTTGGCCCAACGTTGTCGTGTTAACTGGAGGGAGGTTATGATGGAACGTTGGGTCAGACAGAGGTCGGCAGCCAAGGGGCAGACCAAGACTATGAGACACTAGTTTTTATTTTACCAGATAAGGCCCCACTGAGCTATGTAGCTGTAAACGATAGCTCAACGAAGTGGCTTATCACGTGGAAATTTCTAGCAGACAAATACTCTAAACGCACGTTTATTAAATGTGGAGGGAAAAACCGGGGGACCCGGAGAAAAATTCACGGGACCACGGGTAGAGAGACACCGCAAACTCCAAATATACAGCAGCAGGCGTCAGGGTCGGGATCGAACCCACGACCTCCTGCGTACCAAGCGATGTAGTTAACATCTCACAGTCACCATGATGATGATGAAAGAGAGACACGCAAACTCAAAATATACAGCAGGCGTCAGGGTCGCGATCGAACCCACGACCTCCTATATACCAGGCGAGGTAGTTAACATACTCACAGTCACCATGATGATGATGATGAGAGACACCGCAAACTCCAAATATACAGCAGGCGTCAGGGTCGGGATCGAACCCACGACCTCCTGCGTACCAAGCGATGTAGTTAACATCTCCTAGCCACTGCGGCGCCCCTAGAGAAGTGTGACGAGACTGTTTGTGAAGTCCTTGAGGGATGTCGTGACGGTGTGACAAGGACCAGGATCTAGAGGCAGATGTTGGTGCTGAGGCTGTGAGAAAATCTTTGTCGGCTGTGGAACAGCAGAAGGGGAAGCAGCAACTGCAGCTGGGTGTGTGATGAGTGATACAATAACTCTTGGCACAGTAGGGGGCACAGGTGGTGCATCTGCCAGTCATCTCAGTCACTCAACCCACGGCACCTGGGTCTGTCCCGTGACCTCCTGCGACACTTCACGTGGCCTCAAGGTGCACATGGCCTGGCACAAGCGCCGCGGTGACGTCACCGCCACTTAGTGGCGATTGGCGGCTGTTGTTGTCGTTGCAACGACTTTGCGACGACCTCGTGACCTTGTATGACGTGTGTCGGCGCGTCCGTGAACCCGTGGTTGTAATCGAGGCACAGGGCCTGTTGAGGCGAGGGAGGCTCGCGTGCCACCTGAGGTCAGGGCACGGTGAGCGCGCGCCGTCCCAGCGAACGCCGCGCTCAACGGAAGAAAAGCCTTTTCCCCTCCCTGGCAATACCACGGGAGGTGTACAGATGCTCAAACGCCCAATAGACAGCGGTAACAGGGCATCGAGCCTGCGTCAACCGCGCGTGCTTGCGGTAAGACATGCAAACGAAACAGTGCTTTGAAAAATGTCATTTAAACTTGACCGGCCTCACGCCTGGGACGGCGTCGGTCGCGGCTTCGCCTCACCAGTGCCGGAGCCCAGAGGGCGCCCGGTGATACCGCGAAGAGCAAACTGGCAAGGAACAGTGACGAATGCCGCAAGCGTCACAGCGACCCCGCGCCAGGGCACAAAATTACGAATACACAATTTCAAGTGGGCTGCAATTGCTTGGATAAAACGTGCGCTGAAATCTAATGATGTCCCATAGTGCAAGAACAATCGCACTCGGAATTATAATTGCGAGTTACGGGAAAACTCTCCATGCGTTGCAACAGTCATAAACAAAAAGTCCTACAGTGAATGTTTATTAGGCCATCTGTGACTCTATGGGCCTCTGTGTGAATCGATAGTTCTCTATGCTAGTCAACAGGTCTCTATGTGAGCCCATGGGTCTCTCGGCGAAGTGTTTGGGCCGGGGTCTGTCCTGGCCGGCAAAACCCGCGAAATATTACCGCACCCGACACACCACATCCAGTAATACGTCTCGCTACAGCTGTGGCTGCTGGTCACGTGCCACCTGCTCCAGTCCACCGGCGACCTGGAAAATATTCGGTGACAAATGAAGTCCCGTGCAACAAACATGGCCCTCCTGCGCCTCCAAATGAATGTTGTCTGCTGCCAAAGACAATGTAATGCATTACCTGCGCTCCCGGCAATGGGAAATTCGACCTTCAATGCCGTCATATGTCGGGGTTTATTATGAGGCGCTGCTAACCCGTGTGTGTGCGGAATACACTCAGGAAGCCTTCAAGCAATAAGGAGGTTCCAACGCCTGGCGAGAGAGCGCCGCGGATGGACAACCACGCACGCCGCAGCGAGCCAGGCACTCACACCAGCGCCTAGTGGGGTACAAGTACGAAACTCCGCTACATGACACAATCACCGTGAGTTGTATGCTGGAGGTCGTGGGTTCGATCCCAACCCTGACACCTGCTGTATATTTGGAGTTTGCGGTGTCTCTCTCTCTCTCGCTGTGGTCACGTAGAAATTTCTCCGGGTCCTCCGGTTTTTCCCTCCACATTTAGAATCAACATCACGCGTTCAGACTGTCTGGCTGCTGCTATAAATGTCCACGTGATGATGATAAGCCACTTCGCTGAGCTATCGTTTGTGGCCAGGTGGCTTCTGAAAAAGAGCTACGTAGCTCAGTGGGGCCTTACTTAGTAAAATATGAAATAGTTTAGTTTAGTTACGAGGTTATCTCGTAACGAGTCCGAGCATGATGTCCCGTGTGTGTCAATTCAAGTTGACGTGTGTTTTTTAATACGCGCAGACGCTCGTGACGGAGGCGCGTCACACTGTAGTAATGTTCTATAAGGGCAACAAAAAACTGGCATTTGGCACAAAACATATCCGGGGTTATCCTTAGAACTAGAACTATGCAACATCTAAAACTTTCAAATGTGGGCCCAAATAATTATGGCCCAAACGTCTGATTGTTTGCATCCCTAGGGAGGGTCAGCCTGAAGCCCCGTGCAAAACACAAATACACAATCTCCATCTTCAGTGAACCAAGTCATTCGTCCACTCTGCTACAGGTAACTAGTAACGTGTATAACATCTGCACGCGTGTATGTAATGACGTAAAAAGATGCCTGAAATCACTCTTGGGATAAGTGTTAGCGAGTAGCAGATATCAGGGCCGGGATGGTATACAAGGGGGTGGGTGGCCAGCACCACAATTGCCAAAAGCCGCTGCTGTGAGGTTCTGGCATCATCATCATCATCAAAGACAAGGATCCCCTGTGTAGCCTCAATAGACTGTTGGGGCAGGTGCTGTCTCTGCGGCCAGCACGAGGGACCCGCGAGCAGCGCTCGTCAGCGTGAGCCACAGAGGCAGCGCCAACTCAGACCCATGGCTGACCGCGCTCCGGTGGCCTGGATTGGAACTTCGGGAAAAGTTGAGTCCTCGGGGTCGGAGTGGTGGTGCGGCGGTCGGCGCGCCCGCGCCCTGCCAACCCGTGACCTGAGTTTGACTCCCGGCCACGGCCAACATCAGTGGCAAGTGACGTCTCAAAATGCCAGGGTGCGTATCCCGGTCCGGAGGATACCGTCAATTGAATTCAGTGAAGGCTCAGCACCGGCGAAGCGTTGATTTGAAGCGAACGAGAAGCGCTTTGACAACGTAGCGCGAGCGTTCAGCGTGCCGTGCGTGGGTTTCGGAGAGAGCGACGGGGGGAGCCGAGAACGCCGTCGCGAGCGGTAAATCACCGATACGGCAATGGAGACGAATGGAGAGCCTCCAAACGCCTCGAGTGTTTTCCATTGAGAAGAGGCAAAAAAAAAACGGAACCCGCATTCAATGCATTAATGGCACGTTAAAATAGAACGACGTTGTTATGAATATCAATGTTTCTATCGCACGAAATCGAGAGAAACAGGCGCAAAAACGCTGCTCCGGTAACGACCCGCAAGGGAACCCGTGTTGAACCATCGCTACAGCAGAGAGCCATCCCCTGTCGGATTATATCGGGGGGGAGGGGGGGTAACTCAATAATCATCATTCACAAAAAGGGGTTAACAGGAGGCTAAAGAGGCGGTAACTAGTGCCGTAAATAAGACTTACCGTGGTACTTGCCGCGGTACTTACCGTGGTACTTGCCGCAGTACTTACTGTGGTACTTGCCGCGGTACTTACCGTGGTACTTGCCGTGGTACTTCCAGCAGTTCTTACTGCTGAGCCTCTACAACGCCACGGCTCCAGGCGTGAGCAAGCGCAGTTTACAAGCCGGCCTGGCATCTTCATGTGACGCACGACACGAGCGGCGTGCTCGACGCACGACACATGACGCACGACACATGACGCACGACACATGACGCACGACACACGACGCACGACACGCGACACACGACACATGACGCACGACACATGACGCACGACACACGACACGACACATGACGCACGACACATGACGCACGACACACGACGCACGACGCGTGACACATGACACATGACACACAACACACGACACGCGACACATGACGCACGACACGCGACACGCGAGTGACGTGCTGGAATTGGAACGAGGTGGACGGGGTCCGTGGGGTCGGTGGGTTGCGGCGAGCCTGCCCCGGGGTCACGCGAGGTCGCCGCGAGCCCGAAGCGAGGCGGAGGGTTCAAGCGTGGGTGTTACGGCGGGCGGGTTCGCGGCACGTCGATACAGATCGCGAGCACGTACACACGTACGTGTGTATGCGTGTGTATGCGCGGGGAGCGGTGGTATAGCGGTTAGCGCGCCGCGCCATGAACCCGGCCACCCGAGTTCCATTCCCGCTCACGGCCAACACCCAGTGACGATGATCTGAACCGGTCCTGGGCCTCCCTTCGGTCGACTCAGCCTCAAATGAGTACCTGGTGCGGTGTGTAAACATCGCCACTAGGGAGACAAAGGCGGTCGGGCGTGGTGTTGGCCACCCACCCCCTCGTGTGCCGTGCCGGCCTTCATAGGTGCCCGCTAACAGCAATTGCCCCAACAGTCTGTTAAGGCTACACGGGGTAAGCTGTACGTGTGTACAGCTCTCCCGATGTGTTTTCGACTGCTCCGCGTGCCGTTCAACAACGACGTCTGACGTTTCACTCCCACGTGTTGGAAGGATTCTTCAGGAATCGAGTGTACGCACGTTGAACTTCTTTCGCACCGTACGTAGCCAACCGTGCGAACTGGAGGTGCGGGATACTAATCAGTGTCCCCTTACGAGTCTGGGGTCGCCTCTCAATTCTTGGGCATTTTCTCTCCACGCAAAAAATGTTTTTGTTTATTTTGTCTCTCCACGCCGCCCCGCACTGCCGAGCGACACCGCCGGGCTCCGTGCCGCAGCAGGGGGAACGCGCCGCTCCTCACCTTGGTGCCGTAGATGGTGGTCTTCCTCACGCACAACTTCTCCGTGAACGCCACCATGGAGAAGCTGGCAGTGGTGCCACCCTCGAACTCCATGGTCACCACCTGGGAGTGGGGGGGCGTGGACGTGGGCACGGCGCGGGATGAGCGTGGAGCGGAAGAGGAGGCCGCCGCCGCCGCCACGTGGCCCCCCCGGAGGGTCACGGCGGTGGGGTGTTTCGGCCACCCGTGGTGGAACCGGCCTCTCAAGCGTGGCGTCAGCCCAGTCACCAACGAGTGCACCCAACAAACACGTGACATTCTAAACTAAACTGAACAGTTTTTTTTATTTTTACCAGGTAAGGCCCCACTGAGCTATACAGCTCTTTTTTCAGCAGCAATCTGGCTGCCGCAAATGATTGCTCAACCAAGTGGCTTATCACGTGCAAATTTATTGCAGCTAAATGCTATAAACGCGTGCTATGCTCATTCTGAATGTAGAGGGGAAAACCGGGGAAGGGAGACACCACAAACTCCAAATATACAGCGGGCGTCAGGGTCGGAATCGAACCCACGACCTCCTGCATGCCTGAGGAGGTAGTTAACATCTCATAGCCACCGTGGCGCCCCATTCGATTTAGTCGTGCACTTCGTTTGGCTAAACCCCAGCTCTGAGGATCAGAATATCGGTTCGACCGTCGTGCGATGAACCCTGACCCCCTGCGCAGCGCCAGCGGAAAAGCGCCGCCCTCTGCCGTGTGGACCAGAGGTCACCCGAAGGGGTCTCGGAGGCAGTTCTGCGACCTGCGCTTCCACGGGTGGTGCTCTTGCGGGGGATCTGAACGGATCGTTCGTCTCACGACACGACGCTGCTACGAACCGCAACCACCGCCGCCGGAGCGCCGCGGGGTGACCGGACAGACGCGGTGGGGGGGGGGGCGCCACGTGTCCAGCACCGACATGAACACTTGGCCGCGCGGATGGCGACGACGCCAAGAACAAAACGGCTCGGCGGCGAACGAACAAAGCAGAGCGTTGGCACTCCTCGGTGTGAACAGCAAGTCGGGGATCGCAAAGAGGACTCCAGTCGGGGCATAGAGAGGCAGACGCTAAAGGGCGAGCGGAGGGGTGGCTGGCGCTGGGTACGTATCCAGGCCGTGCGTGCGAGGGGCGGGCGAGGGCCGCTAATGAGGGGCGCTGCTACGCCCAAACTTCGAGCGCCGGAGGTAAACGTGACGTAAACGTTAAGTGACCGTTACACAAATGTTACGTAAACGGTTCTCGCCGCCAAACCAGCACACATGACGAACGCCGGCCCGAGTCGCCGCCGGCCGGCCCGTAAATCCACGGGCGACTCCTGCCGTCGATACGACCGCCACCGTCAGCTGCCACCCCCCCACCACCGTCTCCCGCAATGAAGGCGCCGAAATGGCATCGGTAAATAGCCGGCGCATTTGCACGCCGCGCGTCGCCGCGTTCGCCAATCTCGCGTAAGCCGTGTGCCTGCGTAGGGGCACAACGTCGCACATCCGACCCGCGTTGTATGCGGAGGCGCGAAAGACGAGGCGTGAACACTCGCGTTGAATCTGGTTTGGACGGATTTAACGCGAGCCACCCACGAGCGCTCGCTCGCTCCGGACCTCGATAGAATTGAACTCCAACGGCGTTGTACATTGAGCCGGAGCGTGCCGGTGACCACCGCGCGAACATAAGGGCCTCAGCTGGATCACGCTTAGGTCGATGGTTGGGCCCACGTGTGCACAAATAGGTCACTGGACAAAGCTGAAGTGGAAACGGAATTAAAATTTGGGGGGGGGAGCAGAAAATGCTCGACTGTGCTCCAGAATTCATAACACAGTTTTTTTTTTGGGGGGGGAGGGGAGAGGGGGAGTTAGATCGCGTGAATATAAATGCGTCGTTGAAACCCGCCACCACCCGACACGGGCAATTAGTGAGGTTAGTGTCACGTGACTAAAACGTGCCAATTAGTTACTAATTCAGCTTCCGTGAGGCTGCTTGCCCCCCCTTCACTCCGCCGGGCCGAATCAGCCACTCTGGGCCAAACCGCCACAAGGCAACCCTTGACACGCGGATGACTTTATAGCGACACCGACAGCATTACGTGCACACCACGGTCGAGGCGCCAGGCGCGGTGCCCACCTGGTTGGAGGCGACGTCGTTGTCGCTCTCGTAGACGCAGCGTCCGTAGGGGCCCGAGCGCAGGGCGTCCCGCACGGCCTCCACGCTGGCCTTGCTGTCCGGGCAGACGACGCTCACGGGCCACCCCACGTGGCCCTGCGGCACAGACGCCACCACCCCCCCTCCCGCTCAGCCGTCGCCTCCGTCCCATCTCCCGGTCGCGGCGGTTGAAACAATTCGGCAGATTTCATAAATCGTCACCCCCCCCCCGCCTGCAAACCCAACCCAACGACGCCGGCAGTGGCACGAGCCAGCAATTGCAGGGCTGCACCTTTGCAGTTTAACACGCAGCAGCAGTAGGAGGCTTTCGTGACCAATATTATCCATCGTAGAGGGTTTTTTTGGGGGGGGGGTTAGATCGTGTAAATATATAAATGTGTGTCGTTAAACCCACCACCACCTGACACAGCCAATTAGTGAGGTTTGTCACGTAAACGTAAAATGCCAATCCGTTACTAGTACAGCAACACCGGTTGTGTGTTGGAGAGTAAACCCACAGCAGCATTTACAAGTAGAGTACCATGCCGTTTCACTGATGATTACAACAACAACCAGCTTCATCAGGCGATTTGCCGGAATTGTCAATAAGTCTACTTGCCGTTTTTAGTCTTAAACAGAGGGGGTAAAGGCGATGTCATCACTGTGGGACTATCAGGTGCGAAGAGCAGAGGGGGGGGCGTAATGAATGCAGTCATATAAATGACAATGGATCATGTTCATCTGAGAATATGCAGTACCTATTATTAATGGTTGGGTTAGTGTTGTATATGCCGGGTATTGAAAATGTCATGAAAATAATAAAAATTGAATGAAATTTGGGACAATGTATAATTGTCCGAAATTATGTTATTTTGTTGTAATTATGTGCACACATTATGCTAATTCTATAATCGTATAAATTTATGCGAATGTATGCAATTATGCTAATGTAGGCAGTTATGATAATTAGGCTTAGCTTCGTTGCCCAGGGTCGTATCATCAATAGGGATCACACAATGAATTGTATGAAGTTATGCAGGTGTGCTGTAAGTATGTCAGATTAAGCTCGGCTTCGTTGTCTAGGTTCGTATTATCAATCGGTATAATACAATTATTCTCGCTTTAACATTTACTGATTATGTCTTAGTGTGTTTATGTCAGGTCTCCAAATTCAAATCTCACCGCAGGATACAGTTCTTATAATTAAGATTATTACGCATGGACTTAGGAAGGCACCACCCAGACACTTCTGTGTTAAGCAATTTTAATTTCTAAACGAAACCTTAACACTCTAATATGTGAACTCTTATACTTGGAATTGTCAACACAGTACTCCTGGAGATGTTCTCCTCATTGATCTATACATTTAACCCTCAATGATCACGTTTGTTAATGGGGTAACAGTACAATCGATTATTCCTCAGAGTACGCGAGCATACACGGCGAGAGGAAAAGTCCTTAAAATTCATGCAACGATATTCATACGAAGGCAATAAAGAAACATGTCCCGAAGGCAAGAGTAGTTATCAATTAATTCATTTGTAAGATTGTGCAATAAAAAAAACGAACGGCTAAAATACTTCTAAATGACCGTATCCACGTAACTCAATGGGCCGCAATGTTCTTCGTTATCAGCTAATAGTTGACGCACTTTATCATGAGTCTTCTTGCATGTGTTAATGTGTGAGTGTTGTTGGTCTTCTTGCGTTAATTCTTTGCGGAAAGCAGACGCCGAGGTTGGGCATCCCTTGTATCAAAACTGTTTGTTCCCTGCGGAGCGGTGAGGGTGTGAGGGTGTGGGGGTGTGTGGGGGTGTGTATCATACGGACAGCTTGGCACTCCCTCTTTCACACGGGCGGCCACAGTTTCTGTCCACAGCTGGCTGGAAGAGTCGGCACGACGCTCGCCGTCGGTGCGCGATGATCCGTCGTCAGATAGCGCCCGCAGCTCGTCCGCTGTCTGCAGTTCCTCACTCTCGTCTTGGTTCCCAGCTGGTGCCGGTCGGTACGCGTGTGGGTCGGACCCACGGCGCGCTCGCTGGCGCCGACGCTCTTGCTCACGGGCGGCTGGTCAGGCTCTTTCCCCTGCTGGATGAGCCGAGTCGGCACAACGCTTGTCCGCTGGCAGCTGACACCGTTGCTTGGTGGCGCTGGTGGCGCTGCTGTGCACTCTCTCCGGCTCCGTGCTCATTGGCGATGCTCGATTCCTCACTCTCGTCTTGGTTCCCAGCTGGTGCCGGTCGGTACAGGTGTGGGTCGGACCCACGGCGCGCTCGCTGGCGCCGACGCTCTTGCTCACGGGCGGCTGGTCAGGCTCTTTCCCCTGCTGGATGAGCCGAGTCGGCACAACGCTTGTCCGCTGGCAGCTGACACCGTTGCTTGGTGGCGCTGGTGGCGCTGCTGTGCACTCTCTCCGGCTCCGTGCTCATTGGCGATGCTCGATTGCGCGTGCAGCTCGTTCGCTGGTGGCAGACACCCTTGCTCGGTGGAGCTGGTTCTCTGTTATGCTGGCTTGGTCGACGCTTGGCGCTTTCCGCCCTTTCTCCAGGTTGATTGCTTGTCGTCGCTCGGCAATCTTTCTCTCTCATTTCTCTTGCTCTCTCCTTGATCGTGCAGCTGCCAGCTTCACACGGACACCCGCCCTTACTTCACGGCTGCGCTTTGTCGTTGCTCAACTTTCGTGCTCTTCACCCTTCTTCCAGGAGGGCTCTTGCTGTGAGCTGCTCGTCGCTGACTGGATGACTCACTCTCAAAACTTGAAAATTGTATTTGCACACCTGTTACACAACTCTGATAGCTTAGTACAATTCAGCTTATCGCAATCCTCGATTCCGCAAGCGACTCAAAACATCAGAATGAATGTAGAATAAAACTTTCAGCGATACTCTGTCGATTCATGCCGAACTCAGCTCTTAACAACACATCGTCCGTTCTCTCTGTGAGGCACGACACCCATGGTTGATCTCGAGGCCATGCCCCGGAGCCAGCCTGCCCCTTTGCAAGACTCTGTCGTTCGCAGCGCTCCTCCTTGCAGAGCTGTCCCTAGCCAAGCTTAAAATTGGTGTGTCGTGTTGCTGTTTATATCTGAAAATGTCTCCCCTCTGCGCGTCTCTTGCAAGAAAAAATCAGATGCTTACTCCGTCATGCTCTCCCCCCGCGGCCGCGCCTGATTGCCCCCCCTCTTCCCTTGGTGACCCCGGGCGGGCTGCTTTACATCAAATTGATGTTTGTTTGCACTCCCAACCCCTCTCTTCGTGGTGTCTGCTAAGGGAGGGGACGCACCTTTCATACGTATTCATGGCTACCATGTGTTTGTGTCAAATTGTTGGAAGACAAAGGCACCCGGGGAGGCTCTGATTTCATGGAATACATATTATCTGGTCTTGTGTGTTTGACCTATTTTATTGTATCTCTTTTGAGTTACCCTAGGTCTAATCTCTTGTGATTATTACTTGGTTTATGTTTAACCAAGATTTGTAATGTCATTAGATGTTACCTCCGGTATTTCAAGGGTTTTATTACTTTTTTTTCCCTGTCTGCATCCAGCGATCCGTGCTTTTTATTCTCGAGGTCAGAGATATCGCTTAGTTTGAACTTTTCGTGATTGCAGGAACTCATGTACTTTGGTTCGCTTGGTAAAGTCACGTAGATAGAAAGATACAATAATACATAATCTCCTTGGTTCTTTCGGTAAAGTCACGTAGAATGGGAATAAAATAATAAAATAAAATAAGGCAATAAAATTCTGACGACGTTTCGGCCACAACACAAGTGGCCTTCTTCAGGTGAAGAGACAGGTCTGTCCAGAAGACAGAGCTTGAATGAACGCTGTCATGCAAGGACCGCGTCTATTAAGCTGTGTGGGCGGAGTTAAAATATGAATTTGCATGTTACCAGCATCACCTCCGGAGAGGAGGAGGGAGGGGGCTGGGAACACAGGCAGAGAGGAAACAAGAAAAGGGGCAAGTGCAACAGCCAAGGTGCGCTGTTGTGTCCTGAGTTGCCTTATGACTATGCTGTAAACTGGACTACTATATAATACAATATTATACCTTCCAATCTAAACTACATGGTATAACATCATATCATAGACAAATTCCACCTTTGAATTATACAATGCGTTACTTTACACTACCCTATACTTTAGATTATAAACTATTAGACTTGTGATATTACACTGTCTTATTCTATGAACCCAACTCTATACCACACTTATGTATATTCATTATGCAATTACGATGCTATATATTGCCTTATGAGTTATGTTAAACATTACAATGTTATACTATTCATTATTATACTACATGTTATAAAACCATACCATTGACCATGGTGTGAGAAGTATTAAGAGGCAGTGCCAGCGAAAGGGCTGCGGTCTGAAAGTCACCGTAAATACAATCAATTAAGAACCGAAATGGTTTAAAACATCTTTCCAATGGTTACTAAGCCAGAATCCATCTTCTCGGTTGAAATTGTCTCTGTGCTTGTATATGTGGATGGCCTCATGAACGAATCTCTCATGGTAGCCGGTTGGCTTGCAAAGAACCTCTGTCTTGGAGAAGTCAATGTCATGTGAGCCCACTGAATTATAACAGTGATCTGCCACGGCAGAGGAGTTCGTCCTACCGTGTTTTCAAGTCTGCTTTATGTTCGCGGATGTGGTCCGAGATATGTCGTTTGGTTTTTCCAATGTAGCTGCTACCACAGAGGTACTTTAGTTTGTAAACGCCCGGGTACTGTATGTCTGGAACCGCATCCTTTACAGATGGAAACAGATCACGGATTTTATGTACTGTGTTGAATCGGACCTGGATCTTGTGATTATTCAGGATTTTGGAGATCTTTTTTGTGACCCCTGCAATGTAGGTTAAGGTGATGGTTTTGAATGGCTCCTCAAGAGGATCCTTCTTCATGACTGGAGTGATGGCTTTGCGGATTGTGTAGTCGGAGTAACCATTAGCCTTGAGAGCTTGGTGTACGTGTTTGAGTTCACTGGCAATGTGATCCTGGTCTGAAATGCATTGGGCTCTATGGTATAGAGTCTTTATGAGGGAGTTCTTCTGGGATGGATGGTGGTGGGAATCCGGTTTCAAGTAAGCATCTGTATGGGTAGCTTTC